AAGAAGGAAGCCCTCATTTCACCGACTGGCCTCGAGGTAGGCAATAAATCGGCCAGCAATTTACTGACCGGCGTCGTCATCTTTCCCTGCATAACGTCTGCATGTAGTAGTAGTATAGTAGTAGAATTTATTATTTTGATAGGGAAGGCCCTACAGACGTTGCCGTCTTGTTACAGGGAACCCTAAGTGCTCTTTACAGAGCGAAACAAAAACGGATAGATGCTCAACCTGACGACACGAGACAGGCAGAGAATTCCACCTATCAGCGCCAAGGAAAGAAATAGAGAACATGCCATATCTAATGGTAGCAGCGGGCAAAGAAAGTGAAGAGAATGATTGCGCCTCTTGGTGCAAGTAGCAGCCGACTGGAGGGTGAACATTAAGGAATGAAGAGGAATTGTAAGCTGATGAATACAGCTGAAAACAAAAATATAAAGCCTCAAGTTGAGACGAGATTCGAGAGAGTAACACTTAGCGTGCCGCAAAACAACGACAGTCGGGGTACGGCGAGGGAGACCAAAAACCTGTTTCATGCTCATATGACTTAAAGTAACAAGGCGAGAGTATAAAGATGGTGTAAGACAGTGAGCATACGAGTTGCTGGCGTATTCAATAGTGGATTGGATGAGGGATAAATAAAATATTCGCTTAGTTGTGTGGTCTACTGTACGGCGGCAGCGGCGGAATGCTCCTATCTTCTTATAAACAGATGTACATACGTGGTTGACTTGATGGTCAATAATGAGGCCAAGATAACGCGCTGTGGCAGAAGGTCGAATATCGACACCACCGCATGCAATGGTAAGATCCGGCGGAAGAGGCAGAGCCTTCTTCCGAAGCACCATGAACTTCGTTTTCTGGGCATTCAAGATGAGACCAATGCTTCCAAGGTACGTATTTAGTCTGTTCAACTCACTTGTCAACTTGTGCTGAAGTTCTCCAGTAGACTGACAGTGTATATAAAAGGCGATATCGTCAGCATACTGTTGGGACTCTGCGTGGCGAAGTACTCCAGGGGCATGTCGCACGTACAAAGAGAATAACAGAGGCCCTAGCACCGACCCTTGCGGAACGCCTCGTGTACAATGTGTCTCGTCTCCTCTGTTATTTCCAATTTTCACCTGTTGTCGTCGACCCTGGAGATAGCTGGAGAACCACTGTAGTGCTACTCCGCTTATGCCAATAGCTTTAAGCTCGTTAAGAAGTAGTTCATGGCGTACCCGATCGAAGGCCTTGCTCATGTCCACGAGTATAACCCCGCGATACTCGCCCTTGTCCACACTCATCATCCAGCGGTTTACTGCGAGAGTTAACGCATCCTCACAGGAGTGCCCTCTCCGGTAGGCGAACTGCTCGTCTGGGAGAATACGAAGCTCAGCGTGATCTTGAAGGAACCGAATCATTTGCCGATGTACTACCTTCTCAAGGATCTTAGAAACAATCGGCAAAAGTGAAACGGGGCGATAATTCGACGCTTCAGATTTGTCCCCTGACTTGTGGACAGGACACACTGTAGCCAATTTGTACACGTCTGGCACCATTCCAGTACTCAAGGACTCGTTAATGATCTGCGCTATGGGACCTGCAGCGGCAGGCTCACAGAGGCGTAGGAGCAGAGGAGGAATGTCATCCGATCCAGCTGCCTTGGCACAGTTCAAATGCTTCAACAGGTCGCTTATCTCCAGAGCTGAAACGGCACGAAATTCTTTAAAAGAAGGGGCGTCTGCGTCAGCTGTTGTCGAGATGTCAGGTATTAGGTTGCTCAAGGGTGGGCAAGGATTAGGATCAGTGACAATGGACGCAAATATGGCACTCAGATCGCCTAACGTAGCTTTTGGTTGTTCACGGACAAAGTTGCGCCCTGTGAGCGAGTTTAGAAGCGCCCACTGTTGCCTTGGCTTATTCTTCGCATCTCGAAACTCCCTGTTGTAATACTCTCGTCTCAGCTTTCTATTTAACAGTGTGCCTTCCCTCCTTGTTGCCCTGTACTGTTGTTTCACAGATTCATTTCCGGGATGTTTCAAAACCTTCGCGTGGAGGTGCTTGCGCCTTTCTAACAACCTTCGGAGTTGATCGCTTACCCAAGGCTGTGGTTTAGGCTTAGCCCTAGCACTGATGGTAATTTGTTTCACAGGCGACTTTTCGTTCAGAACTCTTTTGCATAGAATAGAGAAGCTAGTTGCCGTTGTGTTAGCGTCTGGTGAGCCATCTGGGGGTACTCTGCGGAAGGCGGAATCAGTGAGTGCATCAAGCATGGAATCGGTGCATTCGTCTGCAGGCAGTTTCCACAATGGCGGCTTCCGTAACTGCCGCACAACTCTCGTAGGTTTAGTCATAGGCAAGACAGTCTTTACTAAGACCAGCTGATGGTCAGTAATGCCGTGCAGGGCTATGGCATGACATGCGGAAGTTTTGAGGTCGTCAGAGCATAGCGCTATATCGAGACAGGTACCCGAGGGCAGCCTGGTCGGTTGGGTCACGACATTCCGCAGACAAAATTCTTGGCAGTGTTGACGTAGGTGTCCGTATTGTGGTGATGTATTCTTTAGGACATCAACCTTAAAATCTCCTAGAATGATGGTCTTGTCATTCCGCGCTATGACTTGGTCTACAGCGGAGGAGAAGGTCTCCCAAAATGCGACAGGCTGTCCTGGTGGTCTGTAAGCGGTGCCAACAGTGATCAGTTGGTCTCGTTTTGCATGTGGCACATTGATTTCAGCGAAGACCACCTCAGGACGTACTAATGCCGTGGTAATTGACGATGGGAGTTGAATTAATCTTGCGTCCAAGTGACTTTGGATGTAGAGTGCAACACCACCGCCATGCCGATTACGGTCATTGCGAAAGACGGAGTACTGTGGAATGTGGATGGCTGCGTCAGTGATGGAGTCATCTAGCCATGTCTCATTGACGGATAGAACGTGTATGTTATGGTCATGTAATATTTTGTGAACATCATGCACTTTGTTTCGTATATTACATGTAGAAATGTTGATATGAGCAATATTCAATTCGGAATCTTGTATAGGACTAGGACATGTGACATCAACAGAAGGGTTCCCACGTGCATCCTATTGCAGAATGCGAGCAATTTCATCCATGGTCATAGGACGGCCTTTACTCAGGATCATGTCCCGAGGTAGGGTGCAGGGGAAATTCTTCTCTCGGAGGGCCTTACACTTTGGAATCAACTCACGACGTCTGGCCTGCTCTTGTGGTGTCAGATCGTGGTTGACAAAAAACATCACGTGCGCCATATTTAGCAGCACGTTTCCATTCATTAACACTCGCTTTCCCTTCTCTGTGAGCTTGACTTTTACCAGTCTTGGGCCAGCACGGGCGTTCCCAGTTGCCTCACCCCGCTTCTTTGGTGTAATGCGCTCTGCGCTGAGGACATCACCAGCATCGAGACCTGGAACGAGACCCCGTACAATGGACTGAAGTTGTTCTCCGTCAGCCTCCACTAGGCATCGGAGAACCGCGTTGTTGCTGCGGTCCCGCTTCGCCACCTCCTCTGCCATGACGTCACGCATGACATGAACTTGCTGAGTGCGCGAAGAGGTCGTTTCCTGAACCAATGTAGCGAGGTCAACCTTATTTGGCAAATTATCTACCACGTCACTGAGTTTGGCAGAGAGGCCGTCAACCTGGCGCCGAAGGTCGACAACAATGGCGGATTTCCCGCCATTGTCGACATCAGAATTGGCTTTATTCCCGTAGCTATGCAGAAGACGTTACTTCAGTAACATCTGGCGCTAGCCAGGGTCCCCACAGCTTTAATTTGGTGTTTGTGTGTTTGTGTGTTTGTGTGTTTGTGTGTTTGTGTCACGCCTGGCGCTACCCGTATCTGTCACGTACCGTACCGTACCATCAAACACAGCTGGCCACATACAGCTGGCCGCACTATTCAAAGAGGGCTTTCAAACGCAAGATCATCACGTGAAGCAACTTGGAAGAATGAGTAAGAATGCGAAGTGTATTGGGGAATGCATGTAGGGCGATAGTGCGGGTTCGAATCCCAGGTAATGCCTGAAAAAATAGGAGAATTGAAAAATGTATAACATCTCTATTCTTTTTTTGCCGTCATCAAGGCGGTAGATGGTGTCGCACTACCCTCTACCGTACCTGTCGCGTACCTGTCCCGTACCTGTCCCGTAACTGTCTCGTACCATACCGTACAATCAAAGACGGCTGGCCACAATGCATATTCAAATCGGGCTTTCAAATACAAGATCATAACGTGAAGCAACTTGGAAGAATTAGTATGTATGCGAAGTGAATCGGGGGATGCATGCAGGGCGATAGTGCGGGTTCGAATCCCAGGTTATGCCTAAAAACAAAAAGTAGAAATTTATAAGAATTTATAACATCCCTTTGCTTTTTTTGTCTAAGTCATCAAGGCAAAAAAGCATAGCGTAGGGCCCTGAGCTTCCAAGCTCTCTCGTCACCTGCAGCCTTGCATTTGTTGACATCAGTCTGCAGCTTCTCACTCTGTTTTTGCAGTTGCAATATCTGTCTCTCTACGACTCTAGCTTCGTCATGCGGTTTTCGAGAGGAGCTAGGAGATCTGCAAGTGCAATTCTCATAACCCCCCCCCCCCCCCCCGAAATTCCTCTCTGAACGAGTCGAGAAGCTGCAGCACACGCGACACAGGCAATGAGCTGTCGTCAATGCTATCACTTACGTGACGCGCTGTTTCATGATGTGCAAACTTTCAGAGAAATCGACGGGGGAGAACGTGGTGATTCGATTTTGACAGCATGTTACCAGGGGAGGACGCATAGTGCTCCTGGCTACAACCATAACCCGGTTGGCAGAGTCCCAATCGGATCGGAGATTATTTTTTCGATCTCCACAAAAATAATTAACCCAACACACACGGTTTAGGCGATGGGGCTGTTAAGTGATGACGTCACAGTTCCTTCGATACGCATAGCAACGATCCCCACTGGGGACAAACAAAAGTAGCGTCGTCTCCATCGAACCAGTTGTCAGTGGCAACATATAGGAATCGTGTACATTTCTTCGTTTCTTCTTTGCTGTTTTCAGTGAGTGTTTTGTTTTCTCTTTGTTCTTGATCTCGACGGTGTTGTCGTGCTCATTACCTTACTGAGACGTCCCTTGTGACTGTAGCCAGTGTCACGGAGGATTTTATTGGCGTGACGAGGTAGATCGCCGAGATCGAGCGTGAAAAACGCTCTGCATTAGTAGCTCCTGTAGAATGTCTTCTGGGATGGCGTATCCATGGTCAACAAAGCCAAGGTGCAAGACAGCATAAGAGATCGTGTAAACGATGTGAACTCCAAAAGGTAAGCTCCTGAACAAGTGGAACGATATGTGTATTTACAAACTCTCTCTACATCCATCAATTGCCGCTATGCATTGCATTTTGTCTTCACAGATAATCTGGACAAATAAATTATATTGTAACTGGAGAGTGCAATCGTGCTTGGGACCCATCCCAATGTCATCACATGGCTGTGATGACTAGTGTATACCTGGGAGAGTTTTTCCTCAACTGAGACGGAGTGTAGGTGGATGGATTATGAGAAATGCGAAGATGTGGAGTAAGTTGTGTCGAAGAAATGTGTAATATAATAAAATAAAATTTACTTTACACTCAAAACATACACTGTACATGTGCATGTAACATCATGATAATGATTCCATCTTCATATCTCCGCAACAGGTACGCCATACGCACCGAATACATGGTGTGTGTGCACGCGCGCGCGCTTGCGTGCGCGCGTACATGCACACACTCTCATGCGTGGCCGAGTTGGCCGGATGAACAGACCACGCATTTGGACGAGGTGTCCGTCATGTCATTGGAATGCTGTACTTTCTGACTTTATTCCAAAATAGTATGTCTTGCCCCTGTCAAATGGAGTTTGTGTCTATGCTCAGCGGGTATCGGGCCATGACGCCACACTGCAGTCAGCGCTGGAATTAAAATAGCACTTCATGGATTATTTTTAGGGCTGAGTCGGGTAGCACGGGTACCCGATCGGGTAATGTTTCCATGGTAAGACCACAATGCACACCGGCCCCTCCCCTTACACACTGGGTAGACATGCGTGAATTATTTGTACACGTGCACTGTATACCTCTCTCTACTCTTTCTACATGATGTCATCTGCGACTTCGGGTTTTCGGGTACGATTCGGTACCCGTCTACCCGAGGTCCTCACGGGTAGCACAGGTACCCGACTACCCGTGCACACCACTAATTGTTTTAACTAATTTCCTTTGCGTTTATTTTGTTGAGCCCGTGGTTTCATTTCTGTGTTCTGTTATGATTGGCTTCTGGAAATAATCGGAGTGGATGTCATTTTTATGTGTGTGCCTTGTGCAACAGGTTCAAGGCTAGATGCACTTCACATTCGGCGTGCGATCTCGGCGTCTGTGACCTGATAACGTCTTGGTTGGATGGGTAATCAAGGATGATACTACTCGGCACACCAATGTACATGTCAATGTAACTTTTACTTTTTCAGAGCTGCACTATTTACGTCTTGATGCTTACTTCGGTACTAGCGTGTTTCCCCCGGATTATTTCTATCATCATGCGTGTTCTTGGGCTGAGCGAGCACATGCACGAGTGTGCAGCTATAACCCTGTGTATCTTTGGTTACACTTTGTTCTGCAATGCATGTACCTTGTAACAGTATGTGCTTGCACTGCTTTGTGTGGCCTGCGTATTTCAGGACTATTCAGTGCATTAGACCCAGGTTGGTTTGGTTGCCGGATGATCTCTTGTTGCGTCGCTCTGTGTTTTGTATTCATCAATTTTTGGGCTTGAGAATTGAGCTGGTGTGTGGTTCCCAATATCAAAACATAATGCTGGTGCTCTGTGTTTCGATTATCGACTGTCCGAGCAGTTACGATTCATTACCAGAACGGTCAATACTGTAGTCTCTTCACGTGTTTGTCTTTTTGTGTTTTCGCCGGGGGAATTAGCGGTGACGTTGCACATAGAACGGCAGTGTTGCATCACTGGACGACCCTGCCTCTGCATCTGACTTCATTTTCCCAGGATCTGGTGCGGATACACCAGACAGTCACTTCCTGTACACAGCAAACAGCAAAAGAAGAGATCCCGCAAATCAGGAAAAACCATTGTGGAAAATATCGAGTAGATCATACACATCATACACATTGAGTGGTGCATTCTTGCAGGTTTGCCGAGTCGAAGGTTCGATGGACTTCTCGTGTGCTCTGGATGGCAGTCGTGAGTCAGTCAAGTGTCAAGTAAAGTCGGCGGAATAGCCCGAGCTCCGGTGTGGGGAGCAAACCTTTCTTAGATCATACACCATTCAATAATTTGGAGTAATTACAGTGAGACAAACACTTCAAACAGTGCTCTCTCTCTCTCTCTCCATCCTTCCAAAATACTAGTACCCTGTAACAATTCCCTATAATTATTGTATTTTATATTCTCAGGACATCATTCTGAATATAATAACTTCTTCCATGGGTCTTCAATCACCACGGAGGGCGAGAATATATCTAAGTCATGCAGTTTACGGGAGGTGCGAGCTGTCATGGATATAGAGGCTGACATTGTGCCAGCGTGAGGGCAGAGACAGAAAGAAGACACTGATTTCTTGAACAACTCACCTACATATAATCGAATCCACGGGGAGCGCTCGTACTTTGATCCATCAGGACGCGAAGAATCTTCAAAGCACTCTCAAACACGGAGTTTTACAGTGGGCAGCCAATTTCACAGCCATTATGAATGCCCTCGACGACTACAGGAGATTTGTAGAGGAAATAACAAGGAGTAAAGAGCGACAACAATCGCTTGAAGAAAAAGCAAAGAAAAACTGCTTTCTCTCCAGTCATTTAGATGCTGTTGCCCTTGACATCTGGTTCCATCCAGAGGACGCGACTTTTGTTTGTCCCCAGTGCTCTTCGTTGCTATGCGTATCGAAGGGGCCGTGACGTCACACTTAACAGCCCCATAGAGTCTACGGACTCGTACTCGTGACCTGGGCACCGCAAACCCAGCTCAACGGAGACCGCACACTCACCTCACCGCGCACCATATCCAAAACAAGCGGTATGGACAACGCCCCGGTCAAATACTGACCCCAACGGCGGGGATGCAACGCACAATCGCGAAAGAAGCAAGTCCGCAAGTACGACTCGCATTTGTCGAAACGACGAGGACGACAAACACTCCGGAGTACCACGCGCGCCATCATCACCGCACGCAGATCTACGCGCGATCCCCGCGCGCGACCTACGACACCACGCAAGATCGACGTCTCCAGAGCACAACTCGCGACGACAACAAGAAGCCTTCACGTCGTGTCCGGCTACACTCCACATATCTTCCTCAGCCTACGTTCACCTTCCACGTCGACGACCATCTTACCAGCTCCTCGGACAACCTGGAGAGATCTCACGATAAGTCCAAAGTCAACACGCGTCTCTTTTAGAGACCCACCAATGAGACTTCTTTCCTCCTTCGATACACCAATAACCGCTGTCTGCGTGTTTTATAGCTCCGTTCACCTGACAGAAGACTCAGCCCACGCCACGAGGAACGTGATACAACACTAACCCATTCATCAATTATTAATAATAGTAAACAATTTCTCGTTTCAACAAAGGATTAATACCGGAGAGCCCACCCCCCTGGGGGAGGCACAATTAATTAACTACGAGTGAACCCAAGACGGTCCAGCACAACAGCCGAAGTAAGCAATGCTGACTCCGACATTTGACCCCTAACACCGGCGTACCTCGCCTGAAAAACATCCTGGGCGCTGCACTGAACTTATGTCCCGTGTTACCAATTGCAACATTCCACAAATCGTTCACAACTGAAGAAAAAAGTACCCTGAAGCTGATTAACGAAATATGACTCTGTTTTATATGTGGAATCAACAACGAGAACAACACTAAGAAAAACGACAACAACAACAACTACTACTACAACAACATCAACGTCCATCAACACCAACGTGCAGACGGGGTGTTCCGACGTGGTGTAGGCCTACGCATGGCCTCGTCGGAACATCACTAACCTCGTCGGCAGCGAGCACCTTCTCACAACAGTCGTCATGGTGATCACTATGACTGTTACAGCTGACGAGCTGAGAGAAGGATGCCATGAGCAGAAGTTGGAAAAGACAAAAAAAAGAGCAAAAGAACAAAAGGAAAAAGAAAGATAACTTACAAATTACAGAGGAAGACAAGAAAATAACAACATCACATTCCAGACGTGATCCCTGCAGCGGCAGCAACGCGACAACGTTAACAATACTGCGGCGGCAACACAGTCCATGCGCCAAGGGCCAAAAATCACCCGAATCTTTATGCAAAATGAAGATGACGACGCCGCTTTTTTTCGACTTTTTCTGCGACCAATTTTGAGCAGAATCACCATTTTGATCGTCTTCGATTTGGCATGGAAGACTTTCATGAATGCTGTTGTAACTTGGCCTGCTGAGGGCTAGGATACCGGTAGTCGAAACAAAATCTGGAAGCCGGAACGCCAGAGATTTTTCCGTCATGTTGCAGGAGAGCCACTTTTCTCAATTTTGCGTCCTCCAGAATTTATGATTTTTGGATGCCGAAATACTTGATGGCGTGAGAACCAAAAAAGAACTACCGGACACCACCCAGACCTCAGGTATGTATAGTCCATTGTCCTAGGCTGCTCATAAAGCAAAAATTGTCTTGATAGTAACTTGCCCAAAAATTTGGCGAATTTTTCCTAATACCCTAGTTGCCAATGCACGAGAACCACGAAAACTAGTATGGCTGATGGATTTCTGATTTTCTTCTCGTAAACTTGAGAACAATTATCTACGATGTTACAAATATTAATAGGTGTTTTGAATGTGAACAGATACACTTCAAAAGGCTGATCGCGTTCTCAGATCAGGTGCAAACGAGGGTCAAAATTGTAGTTCAGAGCGATGTCCATTGAGGCACTTCACCCGATTTCGCAGTTACACTTCGGAGCTTCGGCTTCGAATGTGACAGTGTGTTTGGCCTCGAATCGCTCTAGTTTTCCATAAATTTCCAGCGGTTTAAAGATAAAAATGCAAATGCACGCCTTGATTGCACCTAGCACCTCTTGCTTTCTTTGGCCTTTTCTTTCGCTTCTTTGCTGATAGGTTACCTTTTTCCTTTGTCTGGTATCCTTGAGACTCAGTAAGTCTTCTACTGCCGCTATGGCAGTGTCTATTGTGTAATAATGACTCCGAAGCTGAAGCTCGCAGTCCAGGCCTAGGACTAGTAGGAGTTCCTACCGCATCGACGTGCTGTCCGTGTAGGTAAGTGCTGAAGTAACTAGTTTGTGCCGATATGGAAATTTCGGCCTTTTCGGCGGCCAATGCTGATGGCGACGCTGCGATGGTTCCGTGGGTTTGCAAGCACCGACGAGTGCCTTGTTTCATGCCACGAGTCACGATTTCCCTGTTGGGTCAGGGCGGCCTTCACGAGTTCGGCAGGCTCTTTCGAGTCCCTTGCCAAGGCTCTGCGCTTAGCGCGTAGCAACATCAACAGACGGCTTCCGTCACGTCATTGGGCAGGCCTTGACGAGTGCCTTGCCAATCTCTGTACCTACAAGTAACTGGTATCCAACCCCATCGATGGACGACGCGGATATGCGGCGGCTTCTGTCACGGCAGTGGGCAGGCCCTGTCGCGTGTCTTGCCACACTCAGACCATCCGTCCACTGTCGATGGACGACGGTCTCACCAGTGGGCAGGCCCTGTCGCGTGCCTTGCCACACTCTAGCCATCCATCCACTGTCGATGGACGATGGTCACACCACTGGGCAGGCCCTGTCGTGTGCCTTCCTGGTGTGGTCAGGGCAATTTCATGAAAAGCAGGAGTGCCATTCCAATGTCTGTGCCTAACTCGCATCCACCCATGTCGGTGGACTGTGCGGTCATTGTAGATATGGTGGCTTCCGTCACGCCAGTGGGCAGGCCCTGTCGGGGGCCTTACCACACTCTAACCATTAGTTCATTGGTGATGAACGACGATGGTCTCGTGGCTTTGCAAGCACCGGCGAGTGCTTTGTTTCATGCCCAGAGTCACGCCCATAACTTAATGCCGTTCTGCCATGCTCATATTGTTCTTTCGCAAGTACAGTTCTACCTGTGTTTGCTTGTTCCTATACCAAGCAGAATCCCGTATTGACGGGAAATGTTCCTGCACCAAAGGGCTGTGGATCGAACGTGCATCCCTGTGTCAAGCGGAATAATGTCATATCAGACCAGTTTCCGCTGCACCACGGGCGTCCGGTTAAGGCAGGTTTACCTGTATGTAGATACATGGTTCTGGAAGCATGATCACGATGTCAGAGGTGGATGATGCACCTCTGTGAGCAATGAAAAATAAACATCAAATGGTTGCCATTTGTGCAGTGCCAACAATGTACTGCCACTCCTATTGCTCAAGCACCTTTTGTGATAGCAACCTCGAAGTGGTGAAGCATATAACACTTTTACTGTTGCCATGC